CCTACAAATGAAGAGGAAAGTATTTATTTTTCATAGAAGGATGTTATGCAATAAACATAGTTATATACAGCATAAGTTACATGAAATTACAGGGCAAGCATTACAGAAGGAGGTAATTTGCAAGGAACTTGAATATCGATGAAAGATAGTTTTTCTTAGGGCAGCCTCCTCTGAGGTAATTAATTTCGTGTACAGCTTCATTTTAAAATGAATAATATATAAGCAAAATAATGCTTGCTATGCCGCATAATTGTATTTTATTTATGTGTGCACGCGTGGTCCACTCTAATTAAGCACAACTCTTTATGGTTTATTTATTTGTTTTAGAGAGGCTGCTTAATATTTGAGAGAAACAGTAGCGATGCATCTGACCTTTGCAGAGGCTGTGTTAACAGTAAGATGGGTTTTGCAGGAGCCTGCAAGAACAGTAAAATAGCAGGTTGATATTTTTCTCCATTTGCTGGAACATGCTCAAGTGACCTGAAAGCAAAAGGATTATAAAAAAAAAAAAAGGGAGTTGAAGAGTATTTTCTTGTGTTTTCTGATCTCAGGAGAATAGTACTGACAGGCTGAGGTTAAGAGTTAAGAACTTTGCTTTTTTTCTTGGTTTTTTGTTGTGCACCATGTTTTAATACCAAATCACCAGGGTAGTATTTCACATGTTGAATAGTTGTTTGTTGGGGGTTTTGTTTGTTCATTTGTTTATTTTAGTGTCAAGACAAAAAAAAAAAAATGTAAACAGAGGTGGAGACCAGTCCAGGTTTTAAGTTTTAGAGAGAATGGATAAGTGTCTGTGACTTTCTTGTGTGGTCGTCTTGTAGTGGGCATTGTTACAAAACTTCATAAAAATACATATGGTGTGTACACTCAAATTTTATTTCCTCTCCCTTTTTCATGGCCTTTGTTTACTAGATTCCCACCTCTTTTTAGAAAAACATCCCCATAGTCTATGTGGTTGCAAGGAGCTCAGTGTTACCAGTTCAACCCACCATTCCTTCCTCCTCCTGCCTCTCCCTGGTGGACTTTTCTCCCAGCTCCATGCTTTTTCCCATTGTGTTTGCTGTGTGCTCTCAGTTTTATTTCTGATGAAGGGAAAACCATCAGGAGAGAGAGTTATTTGTTGCAAGAGCTAATAGTGTAGGTTTAAAAATAGGGAAAAAGAAAACAGGCATAGAGAAGCCAATGGATACCTGTGTAATCAGGTGGTAACATTGCTGTATATAAAGCAATGAAATTAAATGTTTATTATATTCATAAAAGGATTTTGGTTGATCTAGGCATTTCTGAGTGATACCAGTAAAGAACGATGTTCAACTGACTTCCACGTGACTGTAACCATTTCTTACGTTGTTTTTCTGTGGAAGCTCTGTGTATGTATACATACAAAATTAATAATCTCACAATGGAAGATGCAGTTTGTGGTCTACTCAGTCACTCATGATTTTGCTAATTAATCATTAATCATCTTCTATTGGAACAGTATCTTTTTTCTTTAATTAGCCACTAGTACATGTTTGCTAGAAATCTGCCTGCAGAGCTCTTATGTGCTGCAGTGTATGCCATGTTTTTCTCAGCTTTTCACAGCTTTTTGCTTGCTTGCTTGTCTGTTTTGCACTGCATTTATAAATGTAAAAATCTCCTTTCAGCATACATGCATATATGATCATCTCAATAAGAGTATGCTGCATGCGTTTTTACACTGTGATACTTTGGGGGAAGAGCAGAGGATGTTGTGTTGCAAAGAGATGCAAGCTAAATAGTATGTGCTTCTCCCAGCCAAACTGATTTGAGATAAGTGACAACTTTTCCCTCTTCTCCTTCCTGTGTGCAGGAAATGCAGGATCATTAGGACTACCTAGCCTTCTGGGGTTTTGGTTTTGCTTTTTTGCGTAAGGAAGATGAAGGCTTTGAGAACTCCCGAGTTCTCATTCACCCTTATTTTTCCTGCAATGATTATTTTTTTTCTGTGTTGCATAATGAATTGTTTATACCTCATGTATGTAGCCATCTTGCTTTTGAGGGTCTGATGTGTGTGAAATATTGAGAAAGCATAGAACCTCATTTTTGTGAGTATTATTGGATAAGCTTAACTGCAGTAGCTGCACAAAGCAGGGTCTTTATTTTTTTTGGTCTTTAGCAGCCTACCGTTTATCATAGAAGTACCATTCGAAGCAGAAACTACTTGAGAGCAGTCCAGGAGTTTTTGTATTTTGAGATCATCACAGATCTGTGGCAGGGCTTTCTAGCGCTAAAGTTTGTGTTTTAATTTCATTGTTTGTTGTAGGTGTCATTGCTTCAGGAGAATTTCAGATGTCTACGTGACATGATACAATTTCACCTTCTTTCCCTTTTGTTCCATGTTCAACTCAGACTTCAGTGTGTTGCAAAGACTGTTCATTAGTCCATTTCAATTAACGGACTGCTGGAGTTGGGGCAACAGGAAGAAAAAAAAATATTGAGGAAAAAAAAAACCAGAAAGAGAGAAGCACCTTTTTTGAAGATGTTTGTATTTAAAATACCTGGAAAATAACTGCATGAAGTGAAGTTGTTTATTATCTGTTCTGTTATTTCTGGTAGTGTAAGTGGTGAGTTCTTGGCTTGGGCTTTAAATGACGTGTGTGATTTGTGGGCTGTTTCTGAAGTATGCTGGTTGTAAAATGAGAAGAAAATTGAAGCTAACAGATATGTTGATCTGCTGTGTTAGGGTTTTGTGTCTCCCAGTGTAGCAGAGCTGCCAGCAAGGCGCTCTGTGGGAGACGAGGCTTTTTGGCAGGGTCAGGGTTGTGCTGCAGATGTGGCTGGTCGAGACCAGCCTGCCAGCCACGTGTCCTCTCCCTGCTCGGAGCTCCTGAATAACCTGACCCTCCTGCAGCTGTGGTAGGGATCAGTATAATTACCCTGTGGCTGACGAGGCAGGCAGTGCCTAATGCCTCTCTGAACTACAAGTGAAAGGGGGTTAAGCTGGGATAACACTCCAGCCTCATCCTGGCAGCTGACGGCATCACCTCCCAGCTTTCTCGCTCCATCTGGCTCCAGGAGAGCCAGGGCAGGAGCATCCCAAGTTTGCTGTGTGCCACAGACCTTACATGTCAGCAGTGGGCAGCTCACTGATCACTGCCATGTTGCTCAGGCAAGCTGCCTATTTATTCATTTATTCCCAACTTGAGTCTGCCCTGCCTTTGCTGGAGTATGGTCTGTTTGGCACTCAGGAGTGCTTTGTTGGGCTTCCAATGTGTCTTGTGTAGCGAACTATTACACAGGAAAGAACATCTTTCATCTCCCTACCCCATGTCATTAAGAGAGAGGTCTGTCTTGGATTTTGGCATTTTAATTGTAGTTATCTATGCATGTCCATGCAGGGAAATTAAATATTGCACTTGTTTGTGCATTTTATGCTCTTAATGGAAGGGAGCATTATATCAATGTTCTCTAGTGCTACTAGAGCAGCTTAATCTCCACTCTCTTCTTTTCCTGGTATTCCCGTGCCTTTTGGGTCCTTATTTGAATGTATCTACATATAAATATGGCCTTAAGTAGTCCTTTCAGTTTCTTATAAGTGTGAATTATTTGTTCTTGCATGCATGAATAATGTAGCCTGCAGAATACATTTGGTTTAATGGTATCTTTGATAATCTACAAACAGTTTAAAACACAAATTTTAAGAGGCAGTAGAAAAATAATGTTTTGCAGCAGAGATGTCTTTTGAAATGTGTCATTATCAGTAGTAGAGGCTTTGCTCTAAGAAGTGACCAGATATTTTTGTTGTTTATTTTTCCACACAGCTGTCCCATTTCCTCCAAGTCACCGGCTCACAGCTAAGGAAGTATTTGATAATGATGGAAAACCTCGTGTGGATATCTTAAAGGCACACCTTATGAAAGAGGGGAGACTGGAAGAGAGCGTTGCTTTGAGAATAATTACAGAGGGAGCTTCAATTCTCCGCCAGGAAAAAAACTTGCTGGACATAGATGCACCAGTCACAGGTTAGTATAAAGTTACCAAGGTGAAGGGGACAGTTGCTGGTCTGGGACATGTTGAGTAATGCATTAGTCTGTGTGGCTTCCTAAGGAGCTGAAAGGCAGCCTGAAAATAATTTGTTCTCTCCAATATTCAGTTTTCTCTTTGCTGCCACTAGGATAATGGAGGCCATCCAGCAGCTTGTAAATTAGAGGAAAGGATCACATCTGCTCAGCCTTCTGTGTGTAAGGCAGAGAACATTTTAGTCTTTAGGAGAAGATAAGAAAAACTTTAAGCATGAAAAGTTTCCTGGCCTTTTGCACCACGTATTAATTCCATAATTTTATAGGTGCCATTTACCATAGCAGCAGTGTTCAGACATACAGACAGCATGGGACTCTGAAAGAACAATGGTGCCAGAGTAAATGGAATTTTTAAATAAATGCTAAGGAAAATAACAAGTGTAGAAAAAAAGGGGGAAAAAAATAGTAGAATCCCAGTTTGTGTTGCCTGGGGGATTAATGAATTGTGCTGTTTGCAAAACCCATCCTGCCCTTGACTATCAAACACTACCACGCACTCATTAATCCTCAGGAAATGCCTTATACTTTGAATTTCCTTCTCTAATTGTCTCCAGCCTCTAACTGCATTCTGAACGTATGAATGCATTTGCTTTCTGTAATGTGCCTCCTCCCTGTTTTGTTATTGTTATCGGATATGAATGCATTTTTGGCAAGAAATTGATTTGTGGTGTAGAAAGTTAGCTGTGGGGCAAAAGATAACTAATTCCAGTGAGCTTAAACTGTGAAACCAAGCTATAAAACTTCATTTTAAAAGGCAGGTCTTTTTGTCACTTTTGTTTCTGGAGACCCTTGACAAAAGTAAAATAATAGGTTCTTCTGCTGTGAAGGATTGCTAGTCTTTCTCATCAGTACTGGTAGCATTCACTAGAAACTACACAGAAGTAGCAAAACTGTAATTTTCAGGAAATGTTCTCTGAGACTGATGTTCATAGTGTCTGGACTAGAACGATGCACAAATTAAAGCTTGCCATTTTTAAAATTACATCCAAATAGGGGATTGTAGCTTGACCTGGAAACATAATATGCATAATCTCTTATGCAATAGTTAGCATGATTAATGTGGTGTCATAGAATTCTGATGGAAAAGATGTCAATAGTGTTGCAGCTCATGGATAAATAAATAAGATGAATAAAAGGATCTATTCTCCTGAGTAGACTGAGATAAAGTTATACTACATTTGCTCTGGCACTTCAGGAGAAATGGACGAAGTCGTAGAGGTTCAATACCATTGTACATAACTGAGTGGCAGACATGAAAGAAATTCTAAGTGTGATTTATTTATTTTTTTAAATCCATTGAGTGATGTAGACTGTAAGAGAATGGGTATAGTGGGTTATGTCCTGACTCATTTCCCTGCATCCATGTTTAATGTTCTCTTTTAAAATTATCTTTCTCCTTAAAAAATATTTCTTAAATGCTTTTGAAGGTATCAAAAATGTTCTGAATTATATTTTGGTGATTATTCTCCTGCAGTGTACCCACTTATATAACACTGGTACACTTTAAGGCTTTTTTTCTTCAGTTGAGCATATTTCTTGCTTTGTTCCTGCTTTTGAAATTATTCTCACTTAGTGATTGGAATACTGCAGCATTCTTCAGGGTGGCTGGTAGCTTCTCTCTTTTAAGCCAGTGTAGGAAAGCAGGGCTCCTAATGCTTGTTAGCAGGGTGGCTGAGAAGTGCTAATGTTCTGTATGAGCAAACATGAAAGCTGCAGTTAAGAAAGTGATCATCAGAAGAAGGAAAAAAAAAACCTGTGAGGAGGAAGGGAAAGCTTGCGAAGAATGTTACTGTGGGCCTGACAATTTTCTTTGTGTGAATGATCTCCTTGTTGACTGATGATGTGGTGGAAGTGCAAGGTATAAAGACAATCATAAAATAACTATGGAAGAGAGGAAAGCTTTTTTTCAAATGCATGGGAGAACAAACAAAACCACTGATAATGTGGAGAAGAAAATAAATTTTAGATTTTGACATGGCAAGCAGTCTTGTTGAAGAGTGACAGTCAAATCACTAATATGAGATCCTTTGTGGTACATGCATTTGTCTCTTAGAAATATATTCCTGTACCTGCTTAATAAGATAGTGATCATCAAAAAAGAAGAGAGAAGAGCACAACTATTGAAGTAAGAGCACTGTGGATTAGTACAGTGATATACTTGATAAATGTTAAAAAAACATGAAAAGTTTTTTCTTAAAGCCTTGTGTGGCCATCACTCGGTTTGGAATGTTTCTTTTGTTTGTTTTAAGGGGTGATATAATTGTCTTCAGAAAAAATATCAGAGTTCTGTTTATAAGCAAAACCAGGTGAAATAAAGTGGGTGCACGGCTGACCTGGTTTTGAGGGAGGTGATGATTTTGTATAATAAAGGGAACCCATAAAAGAGCCTTAATCTGGAATGCACAGTCTATGATTTTGTGTATGTGTATAAAACTTACTCTGTGCCTGTTGTTAGCTGGAACCACCCAAGCATTTGTTATTTTGAATTAATACTTTCTATTTTCAAATTTGGCAAGGTTATAGGCCTTTTGAAGTATTGCTGATGAATTCATTTGCAACCTTGCCTCAGATTCTGATTGTTTGCTACATATGTACATGCATGCACAGTTTGCTACAGTTCTGACTTACAACTAAAGTGACTTATTCCTGCAGTTGGTATCTGGGCAGAGCCAGAACTGAGAATCCAAGTCTTCTGCTGTGAGAGCTGTTCTTGCATCTGGGAAGTGTTGAGGCAGCTTTGTCTTGACTTGCAGATGTGAGTTGGGAAGGACGAAGAGAACTGGGCAAAAAAATAGTGAGTGTATTGAAGGGAAGGTTGAAAGTGGGAATGAAAAGTGATGGCAGGCTGCTCGAAGGATGACAAGGAGGTGGTTGGAACTGGACACTTGACTTGAAGACAAGAATATGTTATAGAAGTGAAAAGTTTGTGAGACAAGGAAATGGTAAAGAGGCTGAGTCAGAGGTTGACAGAGGATTACTGGGCAGGCAAAGTAGGAAGATGATCAAGAGGTTGACAGAGTATTGGAACTAGCTGGGCAAGGTACCCAGTCTGGGAGGTGAAGTGGCACATGGAGTGGGCCTGTCTGCAGAGTGACAGCTGTGGTACAAGCAGTTAAAGTACAGACCTGTCCCATGACTGGCAGCAGTGAGGGGTTGGCACAAGGGTTGGGAGATCATCTAGGTTTCCAGTGTGGGAAAGAAGAGATCTAGGCACCCTGGGCTATGAGTTGCCTGCAGCATCCTTGGGAATGTCCATGCCAGTTTTCACCCATCAGGGAACGGGCAGACAGTAAGGGAACAGGGCAGATGGATTGTTTCTGACTTCTTCATCCCTTTTGTCTTAGAGGCATGTGGTCTTTGTTCTAAGCCTCTGGGTTTAATGAGGTTGATTTACAACTAGACTACAGCTGTTCAGAGGAAAAATGTCTTTATGGCAGCCTTAGAATTTCCAGGCCTGTTTTGTGTTCATAACAGTATAATGACACCTGGAAAAAATGGCTCATTTTAAAGTTTTTTTGGGTTTTTGTTGTTGTTTTTGTGTCGTTTTTTTGGGTTTTTTTTCCCAGAAGGCTAAGGTAATATATCCCTGAACATCCCTGATGGTGATATTTACTGAAGTCACATTCCAAGGAACAGCTGGAAATGCCACATTTTTAATTCCCTGGGTAGCTTTATGTGTCTTTATTATATAGGCTTATCACTATACAGAGAGATTCTGGGCAAGTGATGTCCACTACCATTTGCATGATGACTGATTAATTATCTGCTTGTTTTTTATGGGCCCTCACTTCCATGTCTAAAATCTGTTGTTCTTCATTACTGAACACTCTTAACTGCTTGCCAAGCATGTGTCCGTTTAACTTCAGTGAATAGGTAACTTCCTTTGTGCATGTGTTTATATTTCTATATATTATGGAAATATCTGTGAAATGGCAAGTTCGTTGGATTTTTTGAATGTGTGATGTCAGAAAAACAAGTTTAGGTAATGTCTTTTATGGCAATGTTGCCTTGCTTGGCTCCCAGTCTGTAAAATGGACCCTTCAACTCACCCCTGCATTGAAGACACACTTGCCTTTTAAAGTGAGGAGATCCTGCTGTACTGAGCAGTATTGAAAGAATGTGAGCAAGCTGATCTCACTGTCTTCAGAGCAAGGTTCATAGAAGTTTTGTAACTAAGCTTATTTCATACAAGTGAAGAGATCACATGAAGGTTGCTCACTGCATGAATGTTGTTAATTCTGTCCACTGCGTGGAAAAGAGCAGAAAGTGACTATATAATTAAGGGATTTGTAGTATAATGCAGATGCAAGAGGGGTTGTACTTGAAACCTTAATTCTGTCATATCCTAAATATGTATTTTTTGCCAACATTTGTGGTGTTCACTTTATTTACTAGGTGTGAGATTTCTTGACGTTGATGGGCTGCAGTTTACTGGTCCTTTTCAAAGCAACCAAACCTGCACTTTTGGAACATGGTAAATTGTCATTTTCCAACATCTGCAGAAGTTACCAGCTACAAAAGGTTAAATAGCATTCATTATCTGGAGGGTCAGGGATTAAAATACAAGAACTCAAAGGTCATACTGCACAATTTTATTTCAACAGCAGAGTAGCTGATGACAACAGCCAATTCCAGCTTCAAAGCTAGATCTGATTTTGAAGTCGTCCCTGTTTTGATTAGAGCAGGTTGTGCTAGATGACCTTCCTCCCTTACCTTTTCTGTGAATTTATACCTTGTTAAATGACATAGTTAACTACAGGGTTAGAACCTGCTTGTATCTTTTGGATTATTTTTCTTGAGGATATTGTAAGATTTACAGATACTGCATGAAAGTAGCCTGATAGCTCTTGCACATATGACTGCACAAGCTAATGAACTTATAAGAGATGTGTGTTGGTGTTATTAAGGTAAGGTTTTTTCCCCCATTTATCTATTTTTTAAGT